GGGTTGCCTTTGTTTTAATTTTCTTTTTTCTTGGTTTTTAAGACTACAATAGCAGGAAATTAACTTCATGTGAAGTCTAAATAATATAGAATAAATGTAGATTTTCAGAGGGAAAAGAAGAAAGAATATGGCCTTGGTGGAGGGTAGAAGTGTATTTTACTCAAAATATTGTGTAGATTGCTGGTATAGAAGTCAGGGAAGTTTGAGAGCCCCTTATTAAAACTTGACAGCATATTAATTATTTGTATGTTTCATAAATATGTGTTCTGTTATTACTTGTTCGCTTACTTTGTAACATCTGGTCCTTACTTTGCTTTCTCAAAATCAGAAATACCCAAGAGCAGCTGGCTGTAACAATTTGCTGTTTGTTTTTGTTTACTGGGGTGGGGGAGAGGTTGACATCTTTAATAAATTTGAGTCCTTACTCTGATTGCTGTTTTTTTCTAATTCATTCATACAGAAAAAGTTCCAAAACTAACTGGATATACTTTAGTATTAGCTGCTTCATGTCTAATTAGACTCTGGGGAAAACCTCTGACATTTTGTTTTTGCTACATAGGATAATACTGGTTATTGTATTAAATGGAAAAAAAAAAGCAAAAGTCCTTTTCTGTAGGGTTATCATAATGGTATTCCTTCTTGTACATTGATTTTTTTTCCAAGATAGGTTAAAGGAAGTGAATATTGTTTTTTGTGTTGGTTTTATTTGTTTGGTTTTTTTAAGGTAAATAATTCTTAAGTAAAAAGAATTTTTCTTTGTCAATAAATGTTTGTGCTGATCATTAATCTATAAATTATCTGTAGATCATATTGTCTCTAATTTACAGTAAAATATTACTGTTTGATATGTTTTGTTTATATCCAGATGGCCTATGTTGTCTTGCTAAGCCTGCTGTAGAGTCTAACATATTTCTGGCTGAATGATCTTAGTTCAGAAGAACTAATTGATATTCTTTAGAGAATGTGAGAGGAACAGTTCCCTCTTTGCTCTTTTTAGTGTTTTCACATGTACCTTCAAGTAGCCTGTCTGTAAGCCATGCAGCTGACTTCCTTCATCTTCAACTTGAATATCTTCAACTTTTTTACTATATTCACCCTGAAACTTGTTTATAAAATTTAAATGTTGTTCCTTTATTTTAAAACAGTTTCAGATAACAATAAGGAAGAAACTTCTGAAATACATGACAATACAGAAAATGAGCATTCTGTTTAGCAATTTGTGGTCTCTTGGTAACTGACCCTATATCTTTTTCCTGTATCTGGTACAATAGAAGTTAAGTCTGTTCCTTTGATTCCTTTACAAACTAGTTTGCATGTTGTGAAGTACAATTAGTGAATACAGTAATATTCAAAGACCTATCACTTTTGTTTTTCAGGTTTTCTTTAGTTTGTAAGCATCATTTCTAGTGCTATGGAATTGATGCCATGGATCATCACAATAAAATTGATTGGTTCAGGAATACTTTATAAACTGCATTTATAGAACTTCTCCTTTAAAATATTTTTTAGTCCTCCTTCCAGTTTTTCTGACATTGTTCTTTATCTGGTAATTTAAGAGTAAATCCCAGCTGAATTATGTTGCCACATTATGTCTTCAAAAGGGCATAAAGTCAGTACACATGCTTCAGTAATATCTGGTTGTTTTACCCTTATGTTTCCAGTTGGCAATTTGAAATTATGGCTTCAACTGAACTTTAAATATGTGATAATAGCATGTGTTTCTAATAAGGGCCAGCACCATTTTGTTCAGATAGTGTGAATAGTTGTCACTCATATATGACAAATGCACCTTCATCTGCTTCTTTGATGGCCCCCTAAAAACCATACCCTCAAATCAGACCGATGAAATTAGCTGCTGTGTAAATTGTGTGTCTGAGTGGTTCATTATCTAATCACCGTCAGAACCACAGTGATAAAGTAGATTGAAACAGGGAAAAGGTCTGCCACATGATTTCAGGCCTCTTTTTCTAAATCCTGTTTCCCTTGGAAACCCTAATAATGTGGTTCAGAACTTCAAGATTCTTTGTCTAGAACTTCATATCAGGTTTTTTTAATGCACAAAACTTGTGACCAGTGAGAGTGCTGGGATAAGATTTTCCTCTCCATTTTTTCACTGTTATCATGTGCTTTAAAATATCTAAATATTTTAATTGGGCCACCATGTTTACTGCTAATGGCTAAGATATTAATCTAATGGCTCCAATTTTCAGAACAGTGCGGACTAGAGGACCTGATAAATCTTTATATATATTTTTAACTCTTATGTTTCTAATACATTGTTGTGAATGTTACTTTTTTTTCAGTTTTGCGTTAATGCTCTTTTCTAGGGGCATTTGAAGATGATGATATCACTCACATTGAAGGAAGTGTAGATCCTGTTCGTGACATTGAAATAATACACGATGAACTTAGGCTTAAAGATGAGGAAATGATCCTGCCAATTATTGACAAACTAGAAAAAGTAGCAGTGAGAGGAGGAGACAAGAAATTAAAACCTGAATATGTAAGTAAACAGTGTGCTATCAGTTATCTTGTTTATTAATTTGTACTTGGATATAACAGTGT